GATCACTAATAATATCCCATTCATGTGTACTTTCTGTTCGGGCTCTCTTGTCCCTCTCATTCCTCTCATCTCTAGCAATATTTTCATTTGACGCAGTGGCATTTTCAACACTAGAGATAGACTGATTAGGAACAATTGAAGAACTAACACCTCCAATCAAAGACCTCTTAGTCTTAATTACAAATTTATCCAAACTCATACTCCTAAATATAACAAAAATAAGTATGAATTAAAAATGTTCCTTATACAAATAGCATTAAATTGCATCTAGAACTGAGATTTGAGGATTCACACAAATAATTTCTGACTTTTCGTTAGGGATGAGAGAAAATAATTAATATGGGCATAAATTGGCAGATGAGAAACTTACTTGAAAATTGCAGAATCTGAGAACAAATGGGGAGAAGTGAGAACTAGGGCTGGATTCGGTTCGGGAACCGAACCGAAATAGGAAATATCCGAACCGAACCGATCTTTCGGTTTCGTATATTCTATAACCCGAAACCGAACCGATCTAAGTTGGGACCCAATTTTTCGGACACCGAATTTTCGGTCCGGTTATTCGGTTTTTTCACAAAAACCGAATGGGTATTCAATATTTGTTTATATTGTAGCTAATACTTGCACTCAAGCTTTACTAGCAACGTAATCTTTATCAACTATGAAGGAGCGATTATATAGGCTCAAATGAGGAGTGAATCCTCTATTTCATCCGGTGTTGGACAAGTTGTAGGCTGAAGAAAATAAAATTGGAAGAATTGGGGCGGAAGAAAAGCAAAACAAGTTTAACTTAATCCGTCCTGGGGGGATTCGAACACGGGTGATACGAAGGGAGCGTGTTATCTGTCTCCACTGAGCTACTCCGGATTATTGGCAAATTGGGATGCCAAATGTATTACATACATTAATCCCCTTTTATTCTATATTTCATTTTTTTTACTTTTTCTGAAAATACTTTTTTATTTATTTTAACAGCTCATCTTAAAATAACCTTAAGTTGTACTTATTGTTTTTAAAATTAAAAAAGAAGCCGGGGCAAGAAACATATTATAAGTAATACTAGTAAAAAAAATTAGTCGGAGCGGGGGCGCTTGCCCCCCCTTGCCCCCCCTAGCTCCTCCACTGCCGATCGGGCCGATTCAAAGCCCCACCCTTCCATCACCCGGGCCGGGACGAACCGATTTGGCCCACCCATAGTGATATGTTTGCGAGTAGGACACTCAATATACTCTCCATCATGCATTAACAGTAACATGTCACTCAACACTTGAAGTATTGCTTCAAGAGCTAATAAAATTAACTTCAACGTCTCATAAAATTCTACTACTTGTTTCCCTCATTTAATCTTCCATTTCATCCAACCTATACAAGCATTTTAATGTCATTTTAATTGGACTTTCATAACAATCCATGGAATAAGTAATTAAAAATAACACTAGATGGTATAAATATTTCATAAACGAAATTGTATAAATGAGATAAGTAATTAAAGATAACACCTAAGATGATATGAATATTTCATAAAATAGTAGCAAGGAATATCAGTACATAAACAAATGTGTTCAACAAGAAAGGTTCCATCAGAAATAAAAGTTTCATGAAAAATAAAGTGAACAAAGCTTCCTAAATCAAGTATAGTCTTTTTCGATGTTATATATTATCCACTCTTGACGCTCTTGAGGTATGTGATATTTTGAGAAAAGCTTCTTTCATTCCAAACTTGTATATAAGCATAGGGGCTTTGTAACATGTGTGCTCAACTATTCATCTAAATCCAGAGTTTCTTTTATAGCATTCCATATGTTGTTATTGTTCTCTGATTCCCTTTTATCAATTTCACATTTCTCCCTATCTTTCTCCCTCTTTTCCATCAATATCCTCCTTCCGCGAATGTCACTAGCAATCTCAACAATAGAATCCATTCCACTAGCAACCTTCGTCTGAAATTCAGAACGAGACTCATTATTACTTTTTGGCTTAGAGATTCCTTCACATTGATCTCTGGTTCACTTTTTAGAACCACTACTTCTCGAGGGAGCTGCACTCCTATTTGCACATGTAGGAGGCACAGTTAAATCGCATATTGGAGCTTGTTTGGGTTGAGACGTACGCGCCTTGAGACTCGTCATACACATAGTCTTGTATTGAAGCTTGGGGTGTTCTCTTCAACACCATATGTCCTGGCATCAGACTCCTCACCTAAGCCAACTGAATATTTTATCTGTTACATTCCCAACTACTATTTTTGTAAATCTTCATAGTCGTGAATGGTATCTGTCCGGAGATGCTTATGAGAACCATGAGATTACAAAAGAGAAGATTATATATATATGTGTGTGTATATATATATATATATATATATATATATATATATATATATATATATATTAGATATCAAATACAAACTAGGCTTAGTTTACTAACCAACAAACTAATCATGACCCTCCATCTTAATTAGATTACCACACGGTTGATCTTTTAATTGATGGGCTAAGTAGTCTTTTTAGTTTATTTTTATTTTTGGAAAAAATCACATTCCCTAATTTCTCTAACCAGCTTCCATCCACGTTCATTCATCAACATCAATCGCCACAAAGGTATGATGTCTCCATCTTCATCTTTGTTCTATCTTCACCTCCATCTCTATCTCCATCTCCATGCCTACGCCATTCCATCTCCAAACTTTTGTTCATCACTGACGATAATAATTGCTTGGTTATTTAGTTATAGCCACCATCAATAGAGAACTTCTCTGCAACATAAGTAATTGTTCTCATCTTTGGTTATAACTTCATCTCCACCTCCTTCCCCATGAAATCTTGCACGTCAGAAATTTTTTAATTTTCTACGAGATTCAACACATTTTAACGATTTTATTTGAATCCAGTGTGGACGGTGAAGAAAAAAAACATATTTTTCCATTATGAAATTTATCATATTCAGCGTTTTGACTTTTCGTCATCATGAAATTCATCATTTTCGTATCTATGCAAAAACAATGTTTAAATGTTTCTATCTTAATGTGCCAGAAACATAATGCATTTTGTGACCTCATGAATTTAGTATGCATGTCCATTGAGTATACAATAAAGATGTCATAGCGATAATATGCAGTACAAATTTCTAAAGTGTACATATAATCTTACTAAATGCAATATATGAACTTTTATATGCACGTGACATAGTGATAAAATGCAACATATGAACTACTAAAATGCAGATGACAAAGCGGTAACTAAGATACAGTATAAACTTCTAAAGTGCACAAATCATCTTTCTAAAATGCAATATACGGACTTGTGCAATGGCCCTATCTAATGCAGATGTCATGACCATAAGATGCACTATGAACTTCTAAACTGCACATATCATCTTTCTAAAACGAAATATACAAATTAAACTTCTAAAATGGATGTCATAATGATAAAATGCAACGTGAACCACTAAAATGCAGATACCACAGCGATAAGGTGCAATACGAACTTATAAAGTAAACATATCATCTCACTGAAATGCAATATATATACGAACTTCTGGAATGCACATGTTATGATGATAAAATGCAACATATGAACTACCAATGCAAGATCGACATATTTTATCACTATGTAGTTCTAATGTGAGTTATTGAGAGATTATAAATATACAATGCACATATGGTAACCTTAATATGCACATCCAGTAATGTTAATATGCACATCTCGCAAACTTTGAAGGGATGTGAGATGAACACCCCAAACTTGCATATGTAGTTTAAATACTCTAAACTTTATATAAAAAGTTATTTTAGCACCATAGTCAAGTATTATTTCTTTCAAAAATGTAAACTTATGGTGTTAATTGCATAATTTAAAATATTTTAGAATTCATGAAGACACAATAAAAATTCTAAACTTCCATTGCGAAATAAATAATGTTTCCCTCAATCTATATAATTGCAACACCTTTAATTTGCTATTTTAAATTAAAACAATGTTACACAAAAATATTTGATGACCATTTTTCCTTTATTATCGGTAGTGATGAATCAATAATTTTTTACCTGATTATTTCTTTGATCACACTTTGTATTGCATTTGTTTCCGAGGTGCCGACTATACTATTTACTGAATTTCTTTGTGCATATACCACCTTCGTGAACGGGAAAATCCCAATTTTGTCATCCCATATTGTGTCACCTTCAATTGAAATTTGAGGTCTGCCAACAGTAGCCATAAACATCACTTTTCCATTTTTTTTTTATTTCGGCAAGTTAAAAATTGTGTTACCTTTTCTTCATTTCATTTGTTTATGATTTGACACAATTATTAATAAAATGATTGGAAACATAACTATTTTTTCATTCCATTCTTACCCTTCCTTTAAATATGAGTTAATTAAATATTTAATTCATAATAAATTTGAAAAAAATTCAAAAAATCGTAGAAAAATAATTAAAATATTTATAAAATAAAAAATTAATTTTTTTATTTTTTTTCTAAAAATTAATAAAAAATAGTAAAAGTCCATAAAAAATTAAAAAAAATATGGACGCCTTTCCCACCGCCTGTACTGCCTCCATGCAACACCATCTCCGACCGGTGAAAAAATGCCATAAACATGACACATTTCTCTTTGAGAATGCCAACATTTTCATTGTTTTATGCCATAAATATGACATTCGTAATGAATTTGACATTTTTTCCCCGGTGACTGGAGGTGGGGGTGTAGAGGCGGCGGTGAATTTTATTTTATATTTTTGAGTTTTTTTTGAAAAATAAATAAATAAATTATTATTATCGAAATATTTTTATTAATTTTTTAGTATTTTTTACGAATTATTATTATTTTTTATTGTTTTATTATGAATTAAAACATTTCAATAGCTATAAGGGTATATTTGTCTAAGAAATACATAATTAATCCTATGAAAATATAATTTATTTTTTGATCCTATTTGCGTAAAGTGAGTGAATTTTAGTCCTATTTTGATACGAGTGACTTGCACAATTTTGAGCACTTGGCAAACTTCTTGAACAACCGCTTGAGGCAATCATGCACGGAAGGCCTTCAACCCCAACGAGTCCCTCTTCCTCGTTCCCGCCATTTGCCACTCACTGGCGCCCTTTTAGACTCGCAGTTGATGTACACCTCCCGCTTGTGTTCAAGTTACTTTGCCAAGAATCTGCTCTCCTTCAACCGTCTTGCATCTCCCCTTACAGCCAATTCGATTCCATTTTCTCTTCGCACTAAACGTATCTCTTCCGAACCCCTAGTCTTGACCTCAAACCCTAACCTCAGATCAATGTCCACTCGTCGCTCAGCGTTCGATGTCCTGATGGCTAATTCTAAAAAGAAAACCCAAACCCAGACTCTCCAAGCCAAAGAATCTTCGCCTAAGAAACGGAAAGCGGTTGAAAATGACACCCAGGAGCGGAAGTCCATGGAAAAGTCCACCCCCAGTTCAGCCCCTGAGGAGAACGCCCTTTCCAATTCAGGGGCGATTGAAAATGCCCCTTCTGTAAATGGGGGGATAAACGGTAAGGTTGTCTCAGGTGCAGGAGAGGAAGTGGCAGCTAAGAAACCGAAGATTTTAAGTCCTGATGAGAGCGTCCAGGAGCTGAAGAAGAAGAGTTTTGATCCGAGAAAGGCAGCTTATTGGGCAGCTGGTGCGAGAGTGCCCTTCATGTTTGTAGCCAAGGCGTTCGATGCAGTTGCAGAGGAGTCTGGTCGGATAGCCATCACTGGAATTGTGACGAATGCCTTAAGGACAGTAATTCATACGACACCAAATGACTTGTTGCCTGTAGTTTACCTTTTCGCAAACAAGATTGCACCTGCTCATGAGGGGTTGGAGCTCGGAATTGGAGATGCATCAATTATTAAGGCCCTTGCCGAGGCTTGTGGGGCTAAAGAAGCTCACATCAAGAAGCAGTACAAGGTAGCAAAAGTAATATTGAATTCATTTCCTTTTATATGTCTATTCAAGCATACTATTTGGCCAGAAGGCATAAGAAGTAAGCACTCATATCCTCAAAGGTCCTTATATGTGATTTTGTGCTTTGATTTTTATGTTAGTACTCAGTACATTTTAGTTTTATCGTCCATTTGAGCTGTGGTCCTCATGGCGAAATTTCCAGCAGCAGTTTTAAGCACCAGCTATACCGGAAATTTAGCCTAGAAGTCCACAGGTGAGCAAGGAATAGTAGTCATGCATCAAAAGAGGGTAAAGTCAAAGACTTGGATATACTGTGAGATTGGTGTAATGCTTTGCTCGTAGGATCAAAAGTTGTTTTTTCGTGGTTAATTCTAGCAACTAAGCGGCTATATGCATTTTGGATAAACTGATTCCTTTACTCACATTGAGCTATGTTTTTTAAACTTTCTTTTTCGAAATGATAGGATTTGGGTGATTTAGGCCTTGTTGCAAAAGCAAGTCGATCGTCGCAGTCTCTGATGCGTAAACCGGAAGCATTAACTGTTGCCAAAGTTTTCAATACATTTCGACTTATAGCTAAGGTAATCTATTCCAGAACAATTACAGTTGGAGCTGTGGTAATTTGTGCATCTTTTCCTTTATCTGTTTTTAAAAAGTGCTTAAGACTTTTTACATACGAAGTATCATTTAAACTCAGTTTCATGCAATACCGTTTTAAGGGATATTTATATATCTGACTTCCAAATTTTGCTTACCTACAATCATCTTTTTTCATCACTGAGGTAACCAGGTAAGCACAGGACCTCCTTTAGTTGTAGTGTTGTACTGGGATGAAGTACACGGTTTTAGTTTTTTAGTTCTATCACAAAGGTGCATTAATTTGTTCACGAATGATTATAGGAATCTGGCAAGGATAGTCAAGATAAGAAAAAAAATCACATCAAGTCGTTACTAGTTGCAGCTACCGATTGTGAACCTCAGTATTTAATCCGACTACTGCAGGTTAGGATACTGTGTTTTGGAGTTGCTTGTTAAGTACTGTGAGTGATCTTCATGTTCCCAATGGGTTCTGTTATGCAGACAAAGTTACGCATTGGTTTGGCAGAACAAACTCTTTTGGTGGCCCTGAGCCATGCTGCCGTATACTCTGAGAAGCATCCTTCACCTCCTACCAGGGTGAACTCTCCTATAGAAGAGGTGCACAACTGTTGTACCATTCTGGCTAGAAGCCCTCCACTCCACTTTATCCGTGTTTTTCATTTTGTTTCGTTATTTCTGTTTAATTATATTTTGCACATTCCGCAAAGCTGAGCCTTCATGTTAAATGTTAATAGAGGAAGCATGGATGGATTGTCTAGAAGTGATAATACAGCAAAATATAATAAAATAGTAATTTGTTCTTACTAATGAATAGTTGAAAACAGTCTATTGAACCAATTTTTTTTTTTTTTCATTTACCCCAGTGCCGCAGTCTATTGAACCAAATATGGACACAAAAATATTTGCCATCCAGACATTTGTGTGAATGGTTGCATGTATCAATTTTTTATTTTTTTATTTTTTACTACTTATTTTTTTACCCTGGGGGGTCAGGGGGAGGGGGGCTGGGGGGAGACTGGGGTAAACAAGGTTGAAACTCCCTCCATGGAGTTTCGAACCCGAGACCTCCCGTATGGGAGAGTGAGTCAGCGACCAGCTGAGTTGGACTGCTTCCTCATTGCATGTATCAATCTAAATATCTGACTTATTTGATATTATGTTTCTGTTTCCAGGCCGAGAAGATTGTCAAACAAGTTTATTCTGTGATTCCAGTATATGATAAAATTGTCCCTGCTCTTCTTTTGGATGGTGTCTGGAACCTTCAAAAGACATGCTCTTTCTCTCCAGGTGTTCCAGTTGGACCTATGCTAGCTAAGGCAACTAAAGGAGTATCTGAAATCGTCGAGAAGTTTCAAGATATGGAGTTCACTTGTGAATACAAGTATGATGGTGAGCGTGCTCAGGTATTCCCTATACCTTCTCTTTTTACCCATTTTTGTGCCAAGAGATTTCCCCATTAAAAGGTATGTCAGTATAAGCTGAATGAAAAATTACCAAAATGCTTTGTTCTAGAAAACCACCCTCATAGTAAAGAATGTAATTAGAGAGTAAAGAAAGTAAATACAAAGTGTCTGTCACCTATGAAGTTCATGCTTCTGGTTTTTTTTTTCCGGTAAATAAACCAGAAGTAAATACAGAGTATCTGTCACCTATGAAGTTCATGCTTCTGGTTGAGTGGTTTGTTTTGGTAATTCCTATCTATCTTTCTTACTCGTAACTAGTAAACACCAATTTATTCGCAAAAGGTGCACCAAGAAGCAACATAAAAAAGGCTCCAAAGGAATCAAATTTCCATGATATTTCAGTGATTCATTAGTTCCTCCTTTATACTTTACACCAAAAGGACTCTAGCCACTGTACTGTACCATGTGGACAGGGTATATGGGAGAATTTCTTCCTGCCCTTTGTTTGGTTTTGGAAAGAAATGGAGAAATAAGATAGAAATTGGTAAGAAAGAAATGTAGATTACTATATGAGAGAAATTGTAGATAATGAAGTTTGAGATTGAGAAGGAATGCATGTCTCTCCTATTTATCTCCTCCATGAGAGAGGAAACAAATGAACCCATCATCACGACTTATCTCCTATACATTTCTCTCTTAACAAAACTAGAGAGTTCTATGCTTCTTTCTTATTTCTCTCCCTCTTACATCTCTCTGTAATTCTTCCCTACCAAACAATGCTAAAATTTCTTCTCATGACACTACCTCACCAGATCTCCTCTCCTATTTTGATATCAACAGAATCAAGACAACACTTCCTTTGTTCCATTTGCTACGCTACGTTGATTCCCTGTTTACGTTTGTATCAGACCTCATCACTGAATTCAGATTTCTTTATAGTATATAGCTTCCAATCCACTTTACAACAAACAAATAAGTAAAACTAAGCTACAGTTCTGTTAGAACTATTCAATTCTACAAGCAATTCACAGAAATTGATCAAGAACCAACTGCACACTTTATTGATTAGGCAACAAGAAACAATGGCCGAAGCCCCCAATGGCCGAAGCCCCCAAAGAGAGAGATGATTAGGCTCTAACTTCCCAATACAAGACAAAAGTCTAAAACCGCCTCCTCTCTACTTCTAGCCTTCTTCTATTTATAGCTATTCAGTACAACTGAATTAGTTAATAGCAATAACCGAACTAACTATCAACTGATTATTCTGTTTACTAAGTATTATATTATCTAAGTATTTATTCTCTTTGTTTATTTCAGCTGCGTTCCTATCAATACCCCCCCCCCCCCCCCCCCCCAAACATCCACCTTGCCCTCAAGGTGGGTGATAGGAAACAGTCAAAATCTTCTGCTTCCTCTTCCTCTTCCTTGTTCCTCTTCCTTCCCAATATCTAACTGGTTGATGGACTAGGGACTTCAGTACTGGATCTTTTAAAATCACAGAACTTTCAGCATCAGAAAGTGAATCTTCATTTGGTTCAATCACCTTCCCGTACTCCACATAAAAAAATATTTCTTCACTTTTCTGCAGCTCCTCATGATTTCTATGTTCTCAAATTAATACTGTACTGAATGCAAACTCCTTTATGTACCTTTCAACCTCTCCCTCTTTCAATTCTTTGCCTACTTCATTTGAGAAGGAAGGCCTCAAAGGTTTTAGCAGGCAAGTAAGGAAATACATTATTCCAGTTGCAGTTCTCCTATGTAAGGAACAGGAGAGTCTATCACCCATGTAAAACTTCCAACGTTGGTTTTCTTGTACGTAGACAGATCTATCACCAGTAAACGACATGGCCGTTTTCCAACCCTGTTCTAATGTCACCTTTTCATTTGCTTCAATATGTTGTTCCACAAAATTTTCCACTGTTTTGTCATTTAAAGAATATGTAATTCTGAGTGCTCCGGTTAAAAGGCCAACCCACAAGTTGGTAAGGGAGTCAAAGGTACTTGGATCCCTTCCATTCAGATTCACAAGAACAAAGGAGACAACTGGGGAATAGTATTGATGATCCCTTGAATTATAATGGGTAGAAAGTACCTCTTCAATTTTGGGTTTCAAAATTGCTTGAAACATAGTGAAAGAGTGCTTCTCAGCAGTCAATTTCTGATTAGGCACTGTTGTTTCAGCCCTTTTATCAGCAATAGCAAGCCTTCCTTTGTTCACACCCTTCATCCAATTTAGATGACCTCCATGTGAAATCACTACCCCAATTTGAATAATGGTATATGATTCCCAAGAAAAAAATTGAACCCGATCCTTAAGAACCTGATACCAAGTTGTTAAGTGTGTGGGTTAGCGACCTCGTCCAAGGACGTGAACGAGAATGGCCACAGGTATGCGATGAAGTACTTGAAGCTATTTTAACGGACTGGGAATAGATAGAACGAAAACTAGATGCTTAGTCGTATAATTACTGGTCTCCGACCTAGTCAAGAGATCTCATAATTAATTAACCAAAAGCTGTTTATTAAAATTACTGGGATCCCCTTAAATAGATATTAAGGGTTTCCTAAAACAATTAGGAAACTAAGTTGCTTATTCTAACAGAACTCTAATAAAGGAATACTAATTAAAGCAGGACTACTTAATTAATACTAATACTAATATGACTCTCACGGCTTGCTTGATCTTTTCCTTAGCCACTTTGATTGCCAACTGTCTCTGCTCCCCTTTGTCCTCTGCGTTTATATGTGCGACCAAAGAATTGATCGGTAACAGAACCACTGGACCAGGCCTCTTTTGTTCCAGGCATGAATTTCCTGAAAATATGTCCTTGATTTTAAGTAACCCAGTTTCAGAAGTTTCCAATGGACATGGTTGGAGAAGCAAATCAACAATAGAAACGGTGTTCAATCCTTCCAACACAATGTTTGATGACTGGCGATACATCATTTCAGTCTTGCAAACATTTGACCAGTTCCTCTTCTGTGCAAGATGATAAGAAATATCGCATTCCTGAAGAAGCTTGAACCTATTGGTTTCAAGGACTGACTGGTCAAGATCGTACTCGGAAAACATCTTACGTCTGGGAAATCCAACAACTGCTCCATCTTCAGGTTCAAGATTGACTGATGGTTTATCATTGCATTCCTCTTCTCCATAGGTGTGCTGCTGAATAGCCAACTTCTGCTGTGACTCTGGAAATTCAGATAGAGATTTCGAGCTGGGTTTATCTGCTCTAGTCAAAACCAGAGAACCGGAAGAAGTATCTTGTGACTGAGATGAGCAATTGCTTTTCGAATTCAAGCAGCGATGCACAGTCCTCGACCGTCCTTGCCTACGATATTTTTGTCGCAGCTTGGGCTTCCCCTTCTCCAGGTTTGAGGGCTTATCCCTCTCCAGTTTTGAGCGTTTCTCTTTCTCTGGTTTTGAGCTTGTCTTCGTCTCCATTTTTCCGCGCTCAATCTTTTCCGTGATTTTCACCACTTTTCCGCGCGAAGCCTTTCGCGAGTGCGAAACAGAAGAAACAGTTTGCGCTCGGTCTCTAGTTCGCCTGTGAGGTTGATGACCGATCTTGTTTATTCTACTCCACATCTCCGCAGCCCAATCATCGAAGGATTGTTGATTTTGTTCGACCTTTTCCTGGTTCTTCTCCATCTGCGACAGACTTCTTTTAGCGACAGACTTTCCACACCAGCGATCGTAGCGCTCTGATACCAATGCTAGAACTATTCAATTCTACAAGCAATTCACAGAAATTGATCAAGAACCAACTGCACACTTTATTGATTAGGCAACAAGAAACAATGGCCAAAGCCCCCAAAGAAAGAGATGATTAGTCTCTAAATTCCCAATACAAGACAAAAGTCTAAAACCGCCTCCTCTCTACTTCTAGCCTTCTTCTATTTATAGCTATTCAGTACAACTGAATTAGTTAATAGCCATAACCGAACTAACTATCCACTGATTATTCTATTTACCAAGTATTATATTATCTAAGTATTTATTCTCTTTGTTTATTTCAGCTGCGTTCCTATCAAGTTCTTTGGGTTTAAAGGGTTATTTAATGTCAACTCAATGTGTGGGGTTAGGCTTATCCATGAAATTTCCTTCATAGAGCAATGTCTGAAAAAGCTATTCACCAAAACTGCAGATTCATTACTTGGAAAATGGGTTAGTGGAAATATACAGCCGAAATGCAGAATGTAATACTGGAAAGTTTCCTGACGTTGTCGCTGCTATTTCAAGGTATGAACAATGACTAATATTATTCTTGTATTCAATTTTTAAGCCTTTAGCTTTTTATATCCTCTTAAATTTCATAGAATTATAATGATAACTACGAAAGCTTGCTATTTGCAAGTGCACTTCAATGATAAACATCAACCAGAGAAGGATGTTGTCGTAGAGTATTATTTCTGTTTTGAATATTAGGACATCTTGAACTTGTTCCTTAAATACTACTATGTTACTGAATACGAAATGACTCAGTTTTCATATTTTTATATTTTCTAATGTTTCAAGTCATCAACATCACAATTCCCTTTGCTTTCTCTTCATGCACAAAAAACGTTTTACTTTTTTTGGTGTGTTTTAAAGCTATGTTTTTTTTTGCATGAATATGTATTATTAATTTTTTATATATGATTTATTGGTGGTATAAATTTAATGCGGCCAACCCCAGCTAGTTGGGATTAACTTGATGATAGTGTTATGCTTTTAAAGCTGATCTGAGCGAGTTTAAAAAGGCTTCATTTCTTGGACTCAATCCTTTTTCCAGTCTTTGTTTGCAGATATGATTCTCATATTTTTTCTGTATAGTTTTGCTTTTGGCTGCATGCCTGCATTATATGTATGTTATCTGGTTGCAGATTAAAGAAACCCTCCACGACCTCTTTCGTTCTTGACTGCGAATTGGTTGCATATGATCGTGAGAAACAGAAAATTCTGCCCTTTCAGGTAAATATATTTTCTAGTATATCTTTCTTTCAATGTTACAACATGTATCTGGGAAGAAAAACCATAATGAGTTTGAAAAAATCTTCTAGCGCTTCAGTTTTTAAATCTGGATTCGTATTTAGTCATTTGGCGTTTGATAACTTTCTTTAGGAACACCTTCTTTCTAGGGAAATTGCCCCGAATTGGAGTAAAAATGTTCTGGAATGCAAAAATAGGAGTATTGTGTTTTTATTCCCGAAATAAGAGCCCTTACTGACATGATTAAAAAACACTGCCATGTTAATGACTCCAAGATGGCATTAAATACTGCCATAGTGCCATGTTACTCCTATTTCGGGAAGAAAAATCTAGTAGTCTTACTTTGGAATTTCCAAACATTTTTACTCCTATTCCGAGATTTCCCCCCCTTTTTTACATTGTCATCATTCCAATACCCTTCCTGTATCTCAATTGTGTTCTAGTTAATTGTTAGAACACTTCAATTTCACAGGAATTTACAGAAGAAATATCAAGAAAACTCAGCAAACTTTATTAGAAAGGAATGAGAACAATGGCCGAAGCCCCCAAAGAGAGAGTATTAGTCTCTAACTTCCCAGTACAAGACAAAAGTCTAAACAGCCTACTTTACTTCTCCCAGCTTATTCTATTTATACTAATCTAGTACACTTATTAATATTCTTGGTCTATTAGGCCCAATTCCTAACAGTCTATTAGGCCCAATTCCTAACAATACTCCCCCCTTAAACATCCACCTTTCCCTCAAGGTGGGTGATAGGAAACAGCCAAAATCTTCTGCTTCATCTTCCTCTTCCTCCTGGCGCTTCTACCTTCCCAATATCTCACTGTTTTCAGAGCAAAGAGCTTTAGTACATAATCTTTCCAACTCACAATTTTTTCTGCAGCATAGAATATTTCTGGTGAAGTTTCATTTTCTTCACTAGCTTTTAAGCCTTCAATAGCCACAAGTATTTCCTTGTCTTCCTGAGGTGTATCACCTACACCAGTAGCAGAATTTATGTTCATGCCCTGAACCTCTTTGCCAGTGCGATGCAACACCGAAACCAGGCAACATCTTTTGCCTGAGAATACAAAGTCAACTCCTTCAGCACCAAGTGCATCAGTCATAATTCTGTGGATCCCCATTCCGAGTACAACTTCATTTCCTTCTATCACCGTCATTTCATTAATTGCTCCATTTTCAACAGTAATGAAATATGGCAGCCAATCCCCATTTTCATTAGTCACTGCAAAGTATATCTGGTGCTTATGCATGACCATTATCAGTAATTCTTTAGGGAGCTCTAGGAAGGTGTCCTTAAATTTTCCAAGTACGGGCATAGGTGCCTCAACAAGATTTCCAACTTCATTAATTAAACCAGTCTGCACAATAGGATATCTATTTACACTCTTTGTAAAATCATGGGACTGCTCCAATATAAACTTTTTGTGTTGATCAACATCAACAAAATTCCCAGCATGTTGCCTCAGATAGCCATAAGATGTTGCATTTACTACCTCTACAGTGGCAGATGGAGTGATATGTATACCATTCGAAACATATCCACTGAAGGGGTTGTTACGAGTGAGGGAATGGGTCATTACTCCAGCTGTCTTTGCAGATATGTCTCCCCACATGAGATAACTTTCAGTTGCTTTAAATGGAGTTTGTGAGTCAAGCTTGGAGTAGTCTGACTTGCTTTCAACCCATGACTGCAATTCTGCTTCATGTATTTCAAGGTGTTGGGCATGGCTAGACTTATCAGCATCATGAATCAGTGTGTGGTTTCCCCAGATGATAGCAGATTCTTCAGAAAAAAGATAAACATGATCCTTATGAACCTCTCTGGTCCCGACCTCTTTTGTTCCAGGCCTAAATTTTCTGAAAACATTTTCTGTCTTTTCTCCTTGATTTCATCCTTGATTTCGTCTTTCTTATTCATTTGCTTGATTACAGGTTCAGTTGGTTCCATCTGGGTCTTCTTTATTGACTGGGAAAATTCTTGCGCAGGGTGAGAAACTTGTGAACTTAGAGAAGTTCTTGGCGACCGCGATGACTTATGTTTTTCTGTCTTCCGCTTGCGTCTAGGTGGGAAACGCCTAATCGCCGCTTCCTTTAGAGCCTTCCAACTATTTTCTCTCGTTTGGAATTCCCACCATTGAAACCATCCAAACGCCCTTTCCTCCATAGCCTCAGCTGCGACGTCAACCTTAAATTTTTCTGCAATAGCTTTGACTCGGAAGTATTTTCCATCACTTGCAATGGAGCCAAAGATTAATTATTTTTTGGCTTGAGAATATGATGGAATAAAGCAAAATGGCTCACTAAACTGTCTGCGCTTCTTTATTGTGAAGCAACAGTCAGTCCATGTATTTTTCGACGTGATTTTCACCATGGGTCATTCGGAAACAGTCTCTCAGTGCTTTAGTACAGGGGTAAGACTGCGTACATCCGACCTCCCTTACCCCACCATAGGTGGGAGCCTTTGCGGCACTGGGTAATGATCATGATGATGATGTTGAGCTTTGACTCGGAAGTATCTTTCCATCCTATCTATCCAATCGTATACTTCATCCTCATTGAATAGAGGTAATTCCTTCGTCTTAGAAGCGTCTTTAGATGAAGAAAACGAACAGTGAAAATCTTTTGGTGAGGAAGATTCTCCTTTCAATCGCGTCTGTCTTGGGCGCGAACTGATGGCCGTTGATGAAGTCTGAGAAAGAGTTCGTGATTGCGAACTTAGAGAAGAAGTTCGTGATTTCGTCTGCGACTCCGTCTGCGATAGCGGATGATGCCTACTGTTCCTCGATCAATCTCCAGGTCTTCTGCGAAGCCTCTTCTCTTCCGAATCATCTGAACTATCCGAGTTTCGCGTGTGTCGATGATGATAAGTGCTATGCGATACGGACGATGCATGCGACCTACTTCGCGAACGATTCTGTATCCTCTCTATATTCGCGATGCTTGTTTGTAACTCAGCTAAGGTCGCCGCAGTGCTTGCCGCTGTTTCTCGTTGATGTCGCTCCAGTTCATTTAATCTTTCTTCCATTTTTTTCGCAAGTGTAAAGATCTTCCACAGATCGACGTGCTCTGATACCACTGTTAGAACACTTCAATTTCACAGGAATTTACAGAAGAAATATCTAGATAACTCAGCAAACTTTATTAGAAAGGAACGAGAGCAATGGCCGAAGCCCCCAATGGACGAAGCCCCCAAAGAGAGAGTATTAGTCTCTAACTTCCCAGTACAAGACAAAAGTCTAAACAGCCTACTTTACTTCTCCCAGCTTATTCTATTTATACTAATCTAGTACACTTATTAATTCTTGGTCTATTAGGCCCAATTCCTAACAGTCTATTGAGCCCAATTCCTAACATTAATTCGAAGTTGCAGTCAATTGACTGACAGTTTATTTTGTGTGCATGTTTTTCACCTTATATTTTATATGGGTCTTTGTGTTTAAGGAATTTGATTCTTTTTTTGGCACTGAAGCTTGTGTCACTATCGGTACTGTTATAGTGTAACTCCATACTTATTAGAGCCATTGGCTTCACCTTGATGATTTGATCATCTATATTTATTGTGTTTTCCTTTTATGTGTGCTTTGAAAACATTTAGTTTGTAATGCCTTCTTGCTTTTTATGCAGTGTTGTGCTTATAATGCCATTTTTATGACAGATCCTAAGCACACGTGCCCGTAAAAATGTTGCTGTGAGCGATATAAAGGTGAATGTTTGCATCTTTGCATTTGACATTTTGTATCTTAATGGACAACCGCTTATCCAGGAGCAGCTTAATGTTCGTAGAGAGGTACATAAATTCTTTCTTTATTGTTTCATTCATATTTAATAAATTAACTTGTTTCCTTTATGTCGTGTTTCGTTTGCAAATGAATTCTTGGTTGGGGTTAAGATACCATCATTCTCCATCTGTGTTATACAGTTCTTGGTTATACAAAGAGTAACACTGTAATAGTTGGTGCAATAAACTGGACCATCTCCCGTGTATTACCATTTACATAAAAAACTAGGACAACTTTTTGTCAAAGCTTCTTTTTGTTTCTCCTTTGAACCAAGAAATGATATATTGCAATATGAATCCTCATTTTCCTCAAAAGTAGGTATGGTAAAGGAACCACATCCATGTAGAGTGATTCTTAGGTTTAGGTTTGCAATCAGCTGATATTTATTGGTGTAATTTATCACTCACTTTGCAGAAGACCATGCTTCATTATTATAATGGGATTGGGAATTGAGACAGAAAAAGATCATTTCAGCACATCATTTTTTTTGTTATTTAAGGCACCATATTAACTTTTGTCAGTGTACCTAGGTTCTTATGCTATTTTCCATTGTGCTGATTCTTTTCCAAATATGATGAATTGATTTACCTACAAATTTGAGTGACACTAAATCTTGTATATACTTCGTATTTCTTAACATCTTTAAGCTATTGAAGTTTTATATGGGGATTTGGTACCTGCTCAATTTTTTTTAACTTGAACCTTTGATTAAAGGAACATGGAGCACATTTTGTCTTGTAAAGCCAACCTTTCAATTTGGATCCCCTTCTCGGGGACGGCGGGAGGGGAGATACAAAATTACTAATTACAACTTGTTGACACACTTTCTTAGGTGGGGTGGGGGTGTCTAAAATCTAAATCCTTGGCATGCTATAAAATAACAAAATATTACTGCACTAATCAAGATCTGATATACAACAACATCCAAGCCTTAATCCCAAAAGATTTTGGGGTTAGCTAACATGAATCGATCCATGATATGAGAGCCAAAAGAGTAGAAACAAGAATAAAAAAATGTAGTAAGATAATTCGGATAAGATAAAAATAAATATGTAGTATAAGATAACAATAACATAAGAGCCTAAGAAAGATTTATGATAAAAAGATAATAGAGCATAAGAATGAGAAGAAAAAAATAACATCAGAATATAGAAAGGTAAAGAAGAAATGATAAAAGAAAAAAGAGAGAGAAAAGATAGAAAATAGATCAATCATCTACATGAATGTGTGCTCTCCACTTTGCTCTCCACTTTGCTCTCTCCAAAGCCATACTCTCATCCAACCAAAAAGACGCATATCAGTTATGATTTCTCTAATCTAAGTTTGTTTGGGTCTTCCTCCCCGCCTCTTATCCCCACCTCTCAAGTCGTCTAACAGGCGCATCATTCGGTCTTACCCTCACCTTCTGTCTGATTATCTCATTTTTCAAGTGATCTTTTCTAGTATGTCCACACATCCAACGCAACACCCACATCTCTGCCACACTCATCTTTTGAATGTGACATTGTTTCACCGCCCAACACTCAGGCCTAATTGTTGTTCGATAAAATTTACCCTTCAGTTTAATCGGCATACCTCGATCACATCGAAGTCCTGATGCACTTCCATTTCTACCACCCAACTTTGATTTTGATGAGATACATGTCTATCTAATTCACCATCCTTCTGAATTATGAAGACTAATCCCACTGTTACTACTACCTCCACCAAACTTGCACTCCATATACTCGGTCTTGCTTTGGTTCAGTTTGAAACCTTTGGTCTCCAATGTTTGGCGCCATACTTCCAACTTTGCTTTAACACCCGATTTCGTCTCATCAATCAATACAATTCGTCGTCAAACATCATGCACCACGGTGTATCTTCTTGAATTGACTTCGTAAGTTCATCCATGACCATAACAAATAAGAAAGGACTCAAAGCTGATTCTTGGTGCACTCCGATAGTAATAGGGAACTGCGGTCCTCCCTACACTAGTACGGACACTTGTAGTACAAGATACATATCCATGATGATACTAATATGCTTACGTGATATGTCTTTTCTAGTTAAGGCCCATCAAAGGATTTCTCGGGGTACCCTATCATAAGCCTTTTCTAAGTCAATTAACACGAAATACAAATCCTTTTTAGTGTCTCTATACTTCTCTACAACTTGTCTAAGCAATTGAATGACCTCAGTTGTTGAGCGTCCAGGCATAAAAACTAAAATGATTCTCCAAAATTTTCACACTTTTCGGAGTCTTTGCTCAACCACTCGCCCCCAAAGTTTCATGGTGTGACTCATAAGTTTAATCTCTCGATAGTTGGCACATTCTTGCACATCACCCTTATTTTTAAATATGGGAATGAGAGTACTCTTCCACTAACTCACTAGCATTTTGATGTTTCTCCAAATCATGTTGAAGAAACATGTTAGCCACTCGATGCCTCTCTCTTCCAAACTTCTCCAAGCCTTGATCAGTATACCATTTGGACCCACTGCTTTCTTTCACCCCATCTTTCTCAGAGTCTCTTTAATTTCTGTCGTTTGAATCCTTCTCACAAAGTCCCGATTTACCATACACTCTGGTATAGTAAGATCATCAATATCTTGCACTTTATTCACATTGAAAAAGGTATCGAAGTATGACCTCCACCTTTCTTTTATTTCCCCGTCCTCCATTGGTACCCTCTGATCGATATCCTTCACACGCTTAACTTTTCCGATATCTTGAGTCCTACGATCGCGAAGGCGAGCAAGTCTCTAAATATCCTTTTCTCCTTCCTTAAAGTCCAATTTTATGTACAATTCCTTGTTCATTTTCCCTTTTGTTTCCTTTACAACTTTCTTTGCTTTTCTCTTCTAGCCTCGTTGTACTCCTCTATGTTCTTATTGCTCCAACATTTGTCCAACTTTTTGTAACATTCTTTTATGGTCTTTATTGTTTGTTTCACCTCATCATTTCACTAAGATGTGTCCTTTTTTGGTGACAGACATCCTTTAGATTCTCCAAGTATCTCTTTCACCACTTTGTGAATGGTTAACTCCATTGATAATCACACATCATCCACATGTGTGTCATTATCAGTACACCATAGATCTTCCTCCAACATTTTGTTTGCAAATTTTGTTGGAGATCCCCCTTGAGCTTCTCCCGCTTTATCTTTGGCTCCACTTATACCAAGTGAAGCACAAGCATCCTATGCTGAGTGATAACACTCTTACCTGGGATAACCTTACAATCGGTGTAGCTAATTCTCCATGTCGTCGGTACTAAAAAGTATCCCATTTGAGTATTATTAACTCGACTTCTACAGATCACAAGGTGAGAGTCTCTTTTCTTGAACCAAGTGTTCATCATAGCCAACTCATATGTTGAGGCAAAATCCAAAATGTTCTTCCCCACTTTACTTATAGTGCCAAAGCCATGTCCGCCATGGATACTCTCAAAACCATCACGATTTTGGCCCACATGCCCATTGAGGTCGCCTCCTATGACCAGCTTCTCTCCCCTTGACACTCGTCGCACCATTTTCTCAAGATCTTCCAAAAATTGTTGAGTGATAGATGCATCCAATCCCACTTGTAGTCATAGGCACTTACCACAAACATGATCTCATCTCCTTTTACTAACTTAATGTTCATGATGCGGTTGTTTTTCCTAAAGATTTCCACCACACCCTCAACATAATCACGCAACACAATAATGACTACTCCATTTCTGTTCCTCTCTCTCCCCAAATACCACAACTTTAATCAAGATCTGATACTCAAACTTATCTATGATATATGAACTTCAAGTCTTTAACCATTATTCATTCTCATACTTGATATTTTCATACGAGTATATGTTAGTCAAATTTTCCCTCTACTAATTCTTAGTCAACCTAACTTTTATCATTGTTTGGAAAATGTCAATATAAGTTAGCCAAAGCTTCCCTCTATTCATTATTGGTCAACCTGATTTGTTGTTTTGGTCGGGATTGATGCAGTGTAATATATTCCATGACATTTAGTAAGCAAATGTATGATTTTCTTTTGGCTCCATATTAAAGAACTTTAATGTTTCACACTTTGGTATTAGTTTTACCTTTCACATCATTGTATGCATTTGATCCTTGACTGTAAGGCTTCATGCAGCATCTGTATAATTCATTTGAGGAAGAGCCTGCCTATTTTCAATTTGCCACAAATATTGCATCCAATGATCTTGAGGAAATAACACAGTTTCTTGAAGCTTCTGTGAATGGCAGGTGACTCACCTTTTGCCTCAGATATGGCTATCCTTCATTTTGTTTTTGTGCATGGTCATTCAACATACATGTCTATATTGCATCAGTGTTAATATTCTTCCGTATCAATTTGCTGTCTACTGTTCTGCAGTATCCTTTCTTGGTTTAGAGAACAACAGATACTTGGAAGTTTTTTTGCCATCTCAATTGTGATTTTTAGTGTATGTTTTGTTGTTTACCGCTGACACATTGGCTACACTATAAAAGTATAAGACGATGTTGTCTTGAGAACAGCATAAAGTATATGGTGAAAAGTGAGCAAACCCAAGAGTTTAGTATTTTTAAACCAGTTAATGAACATGTTATGTTTAAAACACCAAAGTGTTACACAATTACTGATCAACCTATTTTACTTGTAAGCGTTATGCAATGTAATGTGTAAATTGTCCTGAAATATGTAGAAGAATTATAGGTGTCCATAAGCATACATTTTCATGGAATCAATGCTTTGTCTTTTTCATTGCAGTTGTGAGGGATTGATCATCAAAACACTTACTAGAGATGCTACATATGAGCCATCTAAACGCTCAAATAACTGGCTGAAGTTGAAAAAGGATTACATGGAGAGGTAATACTAGAAAACTAATGAACTGTAAAGTTATATATGCACTTCCGGTAGTTGCCTCATAAACAAGCATTATGTTTGTGATATGCAGTATTGGTGATTCCCTCGATTTGGTACCAATTGGTGCTTTTCATGGCAGGGGGAAACGTACTGGTAAATTATCTGTAGACTATCATATAATTTCACGAAGTAATTGTGTCCCCATCATAGCTATTATTCATAATGTTTTCTCCTATAGGTGTTTATGGTGCTTTTCTCCTTGCTTGTTATGACAGTAACAACGAGGAATTTCAAAGCATTTGTAAAATTGGTAAGCAGTTTTGTTATGTTGAAATAAGTAAAAGTTTGAAATTTATCTTTCCTACAAGTATTCTTAAATTGCATCTGCTTTTTTATTTACATCATATTTGATGGTGCTTGGTAGGCACGGGATTTCTTGAAACAAAGCTTGAAGAATGCTCCACCAGCCTTCGTTCTAAAATTATCCCAAAGCCAAAGGTTGTCTTACATGTTTCATCAATAATCAAGCCCTTCCTTTTGATTGAGGTCCATTTGGAACTTGGAGCATGATAATGAAAAAAGTAGGGTGTAAAATATAGACGAAATTTGAAAGGAAAAACCACACGGGGGAAATTAAACATTTGTCAGACTTAATAATTTTATTTTTTATATTTCTTCAAATTCTTTTTATTTATTTATTTATTTATTTATTTATTTTTTACTACCTGCGTCCTAATTTACTTAGCCATCTTTGACTTTTCCAGTCAAAAATGGTAAACTTTGACCAATTATTTTAACTAATATATTTATGCAAAATTTAATAATTTTATACTTTATATGATAGTATATTTAACAAAGAACATTTTCATATCACTTTCATATTATCAATAATTTCTGTATATAAACATATAATCTATGTTGTAAAAACCGGACCGGTGAGTGACCCGAACAGATGAGCGGGTCACGGGTCAACCCGGACCCGGCGGGTCAGCCCGGTCAACGACCGTGAAACCCGGTCAACAACTATACATATAATTAATTAATTATATAAAGATTAAATTGATAATTAGAAAAATAATATTACTTCATAATAATATAATAATGATAATACAATATAAGCAATGTAAAAAAACTATTGTATTTAAGTATATTGATTTTAACAAAATATAAAATACGTTGAGATTTAGATGGGTAATAAATATGAACATAATATCAATTACAAAATAAAATACAATACAACAAAGTTGGAAGATTATATACGGGAAGTATAATAGCAGCATTGGTGTGTATTTATTAGTATTTTTTTATAAATTAATTAATTAATTAATTAATGGGTGAATTCTCTAAATAGGAGTAAAAAAGTTTTGAAATTACAAAATAGGAGTATCATGTTTTTTATTCTTTAAATATGAGTAAATTTTTGCCTAGTTTGGCATTATTAGGCTTTAAAACATGTCATTTTTTCGAAACTTGTCAGATTTCTCATGTTCAGGGAATAAAAAACATTTTGGAATTTCTATTAATTAATAGTAATAAAATCATTCCAGACTAATAAGGTATAAGAATTGCTAATCGGCCAAAGTAACCAACTAGCAAGTGTAGCATGTTGGTCAGGAGGTCCATATGCAGGCATTAGGCGCGAGTTACGGGTTGATGCTCAACCGGATCGGATGGTTGGCCTGTTGACCGGTTTCCGGGTCGAACCGGCCGGTTTGACTTGAAAAGTCAAGTTTGACGAACTAAAATGGGACAGAGGGAGTATTTATTCATTCATTCATTCATTCATTCATTCATTCATTCATTGATTCATTTATTCATTTACTTATTTGTTATTTATTTATTTATTTATTTATTTTTTATTTATTTATTTATTTTTTATTTATTTATTTATTTACTTTGATACACTATTCAACGGGAACAAAAAGCAAGATATCGGCGATTTGTCCATACCAGATTGTATGGTTAAACGTGATTTTGTGAGAAGGATCCAAACAACGGAAGTTAAAGAAGCTCTGAGGAAGATGGGACGGAAAAGAGCAATGGGGCCAGATGGCATACCGATCGAGGCTTGGAGAAGTTTGGGAGAGAGAGGCGTCGAGTGGTTAACAAGTTTCTTCAACATGATTTGGAGAAACAACAAGATGCCAACGAGTTGGAGGAAGAGTACTCTTATCCCTTTATTTAAGAATAAAGGTGATGTACAAGAATGTGCCAACTATCGAGGGATTAAGCTTATGAGTCACACCATGAAACTTTGGGAGCGAGTGATTGAGCAAAGACTTCGAAGGACTGTGAAGATTTCAGAGAATCAATTCGGTTTTATGCCTGGTCGCTCAACAACTGAGGCTATTCACCTTCTTCGTCAACTTATGGAGAAGTATAGAGATGCTCATAAGGATCTGCATTTGGTGTTCATTGACTTAGAAAAGGCATATGATAGGGTACCTCGAGAAGTTCTTTGGTGGGCTTTAACTAGGAAAGGCATATCACGCAAGTATATCAGCATCATCATGGATATGTATGAGGATTGTACTACAAGTGTTCGTACTAGTGTAGGGAGGACTGAAGAGTTCCCTATTACTATCGGAGTGCACCAAGGATCGGCCTTGAGTCCTTTCTTATTTGCCATAGTCATGGATGAACTTACGAAGTCAATTCAAGACGATATACCGTGGTGCATGATGTTTGCCGACGATATTGTATTGATTGATGAGACGCAATCAGGTCTTAAAGCAAAGTTGGAAGTATGACGACAAACATTGGAGAATAAGGGTTTCAAACTAAGTCGGAGCAAGACAGAGTACATGGAGTGCAAGTTTGGTGGAGGTAGAAGTAGTGGTAGTAGCGGAATTACTCTGGATGGTAAGGAGATACCAGTCAGCGATATGTTCCGTTACTTGGGCTCCATAATTCAGAAGGACGGTGAGTTAGATGGAGATGTATCCCATAGAATCAGAACAGGGTGGATGAAGTGGAAGAGTGCGTCAGGATTTCTATGCGACCGAGGTATGCCGACTAGACTGAAGGGTAAATTTTATAGGACTGCAATTAGGCCCGCATTACTGTATGGCGTAGAGTGTTGGGCGGTGAAACAATGTCACATTCAAAAGATGAGTGTGGCAGAGATGCGCATGCTGCGTTGGATGTGTGGACATACTAGGAAGGACCGCGTGAGGAATGAGACAATCAGACAAAGGGTGGGAGTAGCACCTATTGAAGACAAGATGCGGGAGTCGCGCCTACGGTGGTTTGGTCATGTGCGTAGAAGACCGAGTGATGCACCTGTTAGGCGAGTTGAGATGTGTGGAGAAGAGGCAGGGAAGAGAGGGAGAGGAAGACCCAAACAGACGTGGGTTAGGAGAGTTCGAAGTGATATGCTTCTTCTGGGGTTGGATGAGGGCATGACTTTTGGAGAGAACTAAGTGGAGGGCGGGTATTCACGTGAAGGAGTGATCTTGATAATATTTTTCCCTCATCTTTTTTTCCTAGTTTTTTTATCCTTATATATATATATGCATTATTTGCAGCCTTTTTATTTTATCATTTCTATATATATTCATCTTTTTTATATGATCTTTTCATAATAGCTTATCTTTTTATCTTTATTCCTTCTTTTCCTTTTGGTTGTGATATCATGTATCGATTCATGTTAGCCGACCCCAATATCTTTTGGGACTAAGGCTTGGATGTTGTTGTTTATGTGTGTGTGGGTGTGTGGGTGTGTGGGTGTGCATGGGGGTGTGGGTGTGTGTGCGCGCGTGCGTGGGTGCGCGTGTGCGTGTGCGTGCTCGTGCTCGTGCTCGTGCTCGTGCGCGTGCGCGTGCGGGTGCGTGTGTGTGTGTGTGCGTGTGCGTGTGTGTGTGTGTATGTGTGTGTCTGTGTCTACGTGTCTATCTATCTTCCTTTGCATTTTCAAGGGATTATCAAGAGGGAAATAAAAATATTGATCATATTTCATCTTCCTTTGCATTTTTCAAGGGAATGCCAAAAATTAGAAATTAATATCCTCAGTATTGTTTTTGTTTCCCTAGCATTTTCTGGGAAGCAAGCATAACCTTAGTACTTTGGCTCTTTTGCTCATTATTTTTCCCACATTATCTGCAGTCATATTACAGGTATACAGAAACAATCAATCCAGATGTATGGTTTGAACCCACTGAGGTATACGTACTTTTGTTTATCTACTTGTTGATAAGTATTTAATACTGATTTTCTACTAAAAGGGCAGCCCTCAAAGCGATGGTCCAGAAAACGGGTCTTACCGCAAGCTCTCCCTTGTCATTCTGACAAGAGACTGCTCCTCCAAGACTTGAACCCGTGACCTCTCGGTCATAATATGTAAATAATGCTACATCATACCAGTAAATCCATGGTTTTCACAGGCCAAGTATTTGAATGTCATCCCTCCTCCCAAATTCACTGTCTAAAGACATTATTGTTCCATTTCTTGTTTCATACTCCCTCCGTCCCATAAAATTCTTTCCGCTTCACTTGGTTCAGAGTTTAAGAAAGTGAGAATAAAGGAAAGATGTATGATTGTGGTCGAGTAATAAAAAGGTAAATGAATGTTAGCCACACAAAGCTTTCCAAAAAGGGAAATAGTAAGAATCTTTTGGGACATCCCAAATGGTAAGTGGAAAGAATTTTATGGGACGGAGGGTTACTTTGTCAATGGTTGGCATTTTATTCTACAAATTCTATTACAATTAATTTTAGGTTTGGGAAGTAAAAGCTGCAGACCTTACTATCAGCCCTGTTTACCGTGCAGCCAATGGTATTGTGGATCCTGATAAGGTATCAAGTGTTTTGTCTCTTTGATATACATGCTAATCGGGGTTTGATCAAAATAAAAATGTTTGTGATACCCTTTATGAATTATCTTCATGTAATATTGCTCCAAATGTGTAGGAATATTTCTGCTCTTAACAGTTTATGCCGTCTCCTCAAGTGTTAAGAATGAGTTTGGTGCCTGAAATTACTTTACACTCTTGGGTGGAATTTGGTTTCTACTCTCCCTCATGAGATTCATTTTCCTACCTACCAAAGGAGAAATTTTCCATTTGACCTATTACTCTCCTGTCAAATTGAAAACCAAACAGAAATGTTCCCCATAATTATATTCCCTAGAAAGTAGCTGCTTTCCATGGCCACAAACACCCCCAAGTGCCTGATTTTGTGAGAGTTATTGTTTTAAATTTCAAGAATGTTGAAGTTAATGGTCTTCATGTTTCTTCTTTTGTTGTGAAGGGAATCTCTCTGCGATTTCCACGTTTTATTCGTATTCGAGAAGACAAGACCCCAGAGCAGGCCACATCAGCAGAGATGGTGAAAACTTTTATTTCTTGAACTATATTTCACTATAATACTGGATGTTAGTTATGTTAGGCCACATCAGCAGAGATGGTGAAACCTTTCTTCGTTTTCTTTGTTGCGCCATTGTATCAGGTTGCAGATATGTATACTGCTCAAAAACACAATCAACAAACTATTAATCAGGATGAAGATGAAGACTGAAGAACCCATTCATCATACTCTTGTAGTAAAGCTGAAGTCCACTGCAAAGTGCAGAAGTAGCATCTTGAAACTTATTTAAGCTATGAATTCTTGGTGTATCTTGAAACATACTCGTAATTATTATGCAGAGCAACTCTCTAATTCTATCCTCGTTTTTTTTGTCATTTTTTTGGTAAGGCTATAGAAGGTTTCCTGCGGCTGACGGGCTGGTTTGTCAAGGTAGTTTTATCCAATAGTAGATAGGGGGCCATAGGCGCCTAGAGGGCTGCACTCTGCAGGGCTTCTTGTTATGTGCTTGTACCAGTGTCTGCCACATTTTACCGCTCTTCAGGTTGCTAAAGCTGCTTTTTAACTTGAAGCATTGCGTTCTTTTTTCTTTAGGCTCCATAAATTGAAGCACCCCACCTTGCAAAAATGTTTTTCCTTTCCCTTCTCGAAATATTAAAGTTCAACACAATAAAAATTGTTACTCATGTATTGAAGTATCTAAATAATTGTTCATCTTCATATCAAATGGGGTTCTACAACTTTATATATTTCTGTACTGAACATGTTGCAATATACGGAGTATAATCATTATTATTCTTCTAGAATTATTTAATATGATAAAGAAAGTTAAGCCTCTCATATGGGTTAAACGATTAGTTTCATATTATGTTCCACCCAATTTATGAAATATGACATACTGAAAGACACCGAATAAATGACAATTGTGTCAAATCCCAACTGATTAATAAATCTTTAAGATCCATAGTTCTGCTGGATGGCAAATGAGAAGTAGGGTATAAATTATCAAAGGGATTTTTAAATGCTACAATGCACATAGTGCATGTGACATAAAAGTGACAGATACACAAATATTACCGAGTATTATCTATCTCTAAATTGCCTTTCATGGGAAGTTTTGCACAAAGATAAAAGTGGGAATTTTATGAGGGAGAAATGTGTAAAAAAATGCTTTGCATACTAAATTATTTGCTTAAAAAGGAAATAAAAAGATTATTTTGGAACATATAGGGCTTGTTTGGTAACAACTGCATTGACTGGAATGGCTAAAAAGTCTGAAAAGATTGAATCTGCTGTAGTGAAAGTGTTTGGTAATATGTTGGCTGAAATGGCTGATTGAGTATAAAATTACCATAAAGGGTATTAACTTATTTGTGTTAAGTATATGGGTGTGAATTTTACTAGTAAACTACTTTTGCTTGATGATAATTATAAGACTACATAAATAATTGATTACTTTGAAAATTTCATTCTTACTTTTACGTCGAATTTTATATTGTTTTATGCAAGGACTTTCTAAACGATTTGTATTTTTGAATTATCAACATTAGCTATATATTTTGTGACTAATATGAGTAAATTAATTTAATAAACATACTTTTTTCAAAGGAAATCAACAACACCACGGGAAAAAACGAAAAATGACCACTTCTTGAAGTTCCTTCTTTCATATATACTACCATATCAAATGTACTGAATACTAATTGATGTCTTTACCTGTTAGTTAATCAAACAACCAATTCAGTGGTCTAAAAAAATCAGAAGCATGGAACGCAAATAACTTTTTATAGGTTAAAGAAGATGTGGAACGGTAGAGCTATGGCCTCATATATGGAACGCGAGAGTTGTGGTCTCAGCAAAGAAGATGTGTATTACATAAGATAAAAGGATAAAGAAGTATATTTAGGTTTGAACAGTACATTAAATAACTTTCAGCTTAAAAAGTAATTTTATTGTTACTTTTTTGGCTGATAAGAAAAAAAACATCCAAACAGCCCATTGGCTATGTGTTTGGCTATATTTTTGTATTTTCAGGCTTTTCAGCACAATTTTAGGGCTCCAAACAGCCCCATAAAGAAGGATAGGGGAAAGATAATTTAGGATGGAGGGTAATAGTAAACAAAATATCTTCCTCATTCGAATGGTATTGCATATTATATTTCATTCGACATTTGTAAGTACATAAATTCGGTTTTATAGTGTCAATTGAGTACACATGTTATACTCCCCCCATCACTAAAAGATTGTCCTACTTTGACTTCTCACATACAGTATTAAGGAAATGAATTTGACTTTACACTGTAGCAACACTATTTGACAGCATACTTGACATTGTTTTGCACTGTTTGACACTGTTGATATATATTTGTTTGTCAAATAAGGAAGTTAAAAAAGTAGAACATTCATTTAGGGACATCCATTTTGGGAAAATAGGACATTCTTTCAGGGACAGGAAGTATTACTCACATACTACGTATATAACTGAAATATTACATTACTAACATATCCGGATACAAGATACAAACTCGGTAACAAATCCAGATACTATGTTGAAATATAGTTCAAATAATAAGTGTTCACCCATCTGCCGATTTGGCCTCTGGAGTATTGTCTTCTCGAATATGAATCAAACAATACAACTTTTTAAATTGAGAGTAAATGAGTTTCATTTTAAATGGAAAAGTATTAGATTCATATATGAGAAACTCTTATATTTTACTCTTATTTAGTGAATTTACTAATGTTTACTAAAAAATATCTGCATGCTACAAAGTAGAAGGTGCGTAAGAGTAAAATATACTTGTTTTTGAGACATGAATCTGATTATTTTCTATTTAAAATGAAACTCATTTCTCACATTTTTTTGAAGGACATTTACTCTCATTTTAAAAAGTTGTGTTGATTTATTTTTTTAACAAGATTATATAAATTCTAATAATAAAATTATAAAATATGCTTTATTTTGATTTAAAACTCCATCCGTGTTTTATTTATTTGTGAGCAATTTCATTTTTCTGCTGCTTTATTCTTTATTTATTATAACCCGCACGGGTAGCTCAACGCCTCAACGGTGGCTGAGTGAGGTTGTTGAATTAAGGTCTCAGGTTCAATTTTAAGTAGCGGCATTGTGAGGGTTTCATCTAGTGTGAGGCTTCTTGTGCGCACAAGACTCTGATCCACCTCACTCAAGAAACCATTTGAGATCATATCGTGATTAAACCTTTAGATTGAGATTGAGATCATATCTAGTATTTCTTATTACCGATATGCTTTGCAGTTGTAAAGTCATGATAGGGAGTAGGGACTGGAGCTTTCTGAATGTTCGGCACGTCTAAATATTTTCTAGCTACTTCTTTGCCAGATATGTTTAGTTTTTATGTTTTCAGAACTCAGAAAATAAAAACCATGTTATATTCATATGTTTTTACGTTTATAAAATAAAAAACATCACACCATTATTCATTTTTAATGAACTTGAAAAATGTTTACAACATTATTCTATTTTTTGGTCCAATGACCGCTGTGTCGTTCTAATTTTTATAGTCTCCAATTTTGGTTTTGCATTTTCTCAAAAATCTAGGTGTGTTGCCTTTTATTTTTTTGGGTACAATGGAAATAGTGTTACCTTTTATGATCCTGCCACTTATTTGATAAATTTCCGTATCATTTTCAGTTATTTTCCTCGATGAGTGGCCGAAAGGTAAGAGGATAGCAACATAGATGTATATATTAGGTGTACTTTGTTTCTTGAAAATTGTGCTTCATATTTAATCTGGCTTAACTTTCTTTATTGTGTCAACTATTTTTCTTTGTTAAAATCTGCCATATACTAACCCTTCACAAATTAAAATATACGAGTATTCTGCAACAAATCTAATTATTAGATTTGATAAGCAATTTATGAACACATTCAAGTCCGCCGATATAACTTAAAACATCATGGGATTCCCGATATTCCCCTCAAACTCTAAGTTTTCTTCTACTTTGTTTGAGTTGAGCTAAATATAAGGGTGAGAAGGAATGCCCAAAGCCCCAAAGTGAGTCAGCTTTTAGTTACTCCATCCGTCCCTAAATTTACTTTCATAGTACAAATGACACGGGGATTAAGATAATGGGTATTGTGTGACGGAGAGTTGTGCTGATGAGAGAGAAATGTGTAAGAATGTTTGTGAATCACAAATCATTGCCAAAAATGGAAAATGAAAGTTTATTTTGAGACGCCCAAAAAGGAAAGTTGAAAGTATTTTTAAGGATAGAGGAAGTAATATTTTTGAAGTTTCTTATTTTTGCCTTTTTACTATAAATAATGATCAGGGCCGGCCTTGACGTATAATGAGCCCTGTTCGAAATTGAATATTCAGGCCCTTAAGTATAAAACAAAATACAGAGTATGAATAACAAAATAATTGAAATTTATATTCAGTATTATATTTTATGTTTTTAATACTCAGACTGATATTTTTAACTCTAGAAGAAGTCAACGATTATTGAATTCAGATTCGTATAGAAGAAGTCGTTAGAAATTAGATTAGATTTAATTGTCTAAAGAATAAAGGTGCAAGGCTAGGGAGATTCTTATCCTTTTCTTCCCAATTCCCCATATTCCCTTTTGTCCTAAAATTCGGCTGCAAATAAAATTTAAGCAAAAAACTTACTCCATAAGTAATTGTGGTTTACTTACCCACCATTTTCAAGCTCATCAAATTGTAGTTTCATGTCACTTTTTCATTCTAGTGGTATATGTATGTTGGTCCGAAATAGGACGCTCGTAGGCTTTTAGGAAAGCTACGTACGACACTCAAGCAGGAATTAGGAAAGTACGAATATGGAAAGTTAGCCAGAAATAGCATATCTGTATTTGAAATTCGAATTGCCTTTTATAGGCGATTACAAATGGTAACTGCCGAACATAATAATGACTAAATTAATTACAACATTAATACGGAATTAAACACATAATTAAGTAGCGCATTGATTGTTGGCCGTTACTCTTCCTGGCTGGCAGGTCAGCCTGGCTGGCAGACTGGACGCTTGAGCTCCCTCCTGCTGGACTGGACGGTGGGCTTCCCGCTAGGCTGGAGGAAGGCTTCTGACCGGGCTGGAGGCAGGCTCCCGGGTAGGCTGGAAGGCAGGCTCCCGGGTAGGCTGGAAGGCAGGCTCCCCGTTGGGCTGGAGGCAGGCTCCCATCTGGGCTGGACCGCAGGCTCCCAGCTGGGCTGGACCGCAGGCTCCCAGCTGGGGTGGTGGTCGGCAGGCTCCTGGCTAGGCTGGAAGGCAGGCTCCCCACTGGGCTGGAAGGCAGACTCCCCACTGGGCTGGAAGGCAGGCTCCCGGGTAGGCTGGAAGGCAGGCTGCTGACTGGGCTGGTAGGCAGGCTGGAAGGCAGGCTGCTGACTGGGCTGGTAGGCAAGCTCCCTGCTGGGCTGGACGGCAGGCCGCCCTGGGCTTTCACTCTTTGATGGGCCTGATCGGTTGGGTCGGAATGAGCTCTGGATCACTAGGCTTGGGCTTGCTGTTCCAAGTCCGGGGCCTGGGCCGATTAGGCTCTGGACCTAGTCCCATAACCCCATCACGAGTCCCCCACTCCCTTAGTCGAGTAGTAGACTCGGCTAAGAGGGAGTAGTTTAAGTCAGCTGCCGATTTAAAAATATTCACATATCAAGGAACCATAATTGTGGATTATGTGAATCCCGGAGTTTATGGAAATTCCCAAATTAAATCAGGCTCCCAAAAATTCCTTTCCTTTTCTTTTCTTTCCTATCTTTTCTTTCCTTCTTTTT